GTCATAAGTAGAGCTCGCCGGGTACAAAATTTTCGGACTCGAACTCGACGAACTCTAGTCATGAGCGTAAATGGAAGACCCTTCTAGAGAGAGAGAGAGAGAGAACTTACTGATGAGTTGAATGTCTAAAATTTTATTTGATTAAGATATTACATTGAAATAACACCATTTTCTAGATTTCTGAGTGCTCTATTGTATAATATGACTCCATCGTATTTATAATGCTTTATTTTTAGTGATGCTTGGGCAGATCGTCTTAGTGTAATACCAAACAATACTGAAACTGTGGCATTGGGTGCAATTACAGTAAGGATTATAACTATTTTCTAAAGAAATCATTTTTAAAATAAATATATTGCTTTAAAAGATTAAAGCTCGTTCATTGCGTGTACCCGGTTTTGAACAATATTTTCGCAATTTACATGTACATAATAATACACGAAATGTATGGTTTCGTGAATATTGGCAACAAAAGTTTGCTTGTACATTAAATGGTTATGGTAATAATTCAACTCGTCGACCAACTAAATATTCTCGTATATGTGCACCTGAACGTGAAAGTCTTAAGAAAGTACCTTATAATGAAGATCCAAAACTTGCATTTGTTATCAATTCCATATTAGCTGTGGTACATGGTTTAGATAAAATGCATAAACAAGTTTGTAATGGAACTAGTGGTGTATGTCCAGATATGGCTCGTATGAATTCATCATTGTTAATGCATTTTTTAAAAAGTAGTCGATTTACGGGAATTACTGGTAGGAATCGAAATTTAATAAGTTTCAATAAGAGAAAAACAAAATTTTTTTTCTAATATTAGGCGAAGAAGTATTTTTTGATGAAAATGGTGATGGCCCTGGAAGGTAGAAAAGAAAATTTTTAATTTTTAAAACTTGTTTTCTTTATCACTTATGTTTTTGTATTAATTAAGATATGATATATTAAATTTACAAGGTAATGCAGATGATTTTGAACATCATCTTCATTATGTTCAAGTTGGAACATGGAGTACAGGAAAATTAACTTTAAATACATCAGCAATACGATTTTTCTCTGATCAACGTCCATTAGAAAAGCTAAATGTTCGTTGTTTTTGTAGTGAACCTTGTCAAATTGGTCATGTTAAGGTTATTAATTTTTCATTTTCATTTTCATCTTTTTATTAATAAATTTTGTTTAATTTTAGAAATATACAGATGAAGAAAAATGTTGTTGGAAATGTCATTCATGTGGTGATGCTATTGTACTTGATGAAACGACATGTTTTACATGTCCACCTGGATTTTGGCCAAATCCTGAACATACAGGTTATTAAATATTCATTATTATTTAGTTCATTTTGTTATTTACGACTTGCATTAATTCTAAGTTCTTCTTTTCTCTTGTTAATAATTGAATCTATGCAGATACTTAATCCTTAATGTTTATTTTATTTTTCTTTAAAAAAATTGATTTCGTATTGTTTTGTATATAGCTTGTGGTCTTCTACCAATAACAACGATCAATTTTCGTCATCCATTATCAATTATAATTTGTTTGGTAGCTGCTGTTGGTATACTTATAAGTTTTTTTGTTGTTTATATATTTGTACGTTTTAATGCAACACCAGTTGTTAAATCGACGACACGAGAATTAAGTTATTTAATATTAATGGGTATTTTATTTTGTCATTTAACAGCATTTGTTGTTTTACAAAAGCCATCATTTATTATATGTGTTTTAACACGTTTATTACCTGGTATATCATTTTCGATGATATATGGTTCATTAGTAACAAAAACAAATCGTATAGCACGTATATTAGCACGTAGTAAAAAGAAAATAATAACACGACGATTAAAATTTATGAGTGCAAGACATCAACTTGCAATAGCTTGTTTTATACTTGTTACTGAAGTAACTATTGTTGGTAAGAAATTTCAATGCAAATAAATTGATCTTTTTCTTTCTATAATTATTTGTTATGTTTAGCTGTTACTGTTTATCGAGATCCGCCAAAAGCGGTTTTAATTGAAACAGGAGGACGTTTATTACTTACATGTAAGATTTTTTTTCGAGATCTTTTCTTTGGTTAAATAAGAGATTATTAATAGGTAAAAAATCACTTCAAGGTATTGTAGCTCCGCTTGGTTTTGATGGTCTTCTCGTTTTTTTATGTACACTTTATGCTGTAAGTACCTTTCAGTTAGCATATTTATATTATTAGATTCTAAACCTACTTGTTTTTTTTTCTAGATTAAAACAAGAAATTTGCCAGAAAATTTTAATGGTAAGCTACATAGGATATTGAAAATAAATTTGTCTACTCTTGTCAAAATAATCAAATAGTCTTGAATGAAGAACTGTTAGTTTTATTTTTTTAATCGAAGTATATTTCATTTTTTTTTAAAAGCACGATCGAAAAAATGTTACTTGAGTTGTCTGAAAAGAAGAGTATCCCAAGCAACACTCGTTCTTTCAGCTCATAATGGATTCATTTGTAGAGCTTAGTGAAAATAGCACAAGTCTAAAAGGATTCATCTCCATTGGTCTTTTGGCACCGAGTTATGACCAGTTTACTGGATTTTTCACCTATTTTTAGTTTTTCTCCAGAAGACAAAACAATAGAGTTTTGATCCAAAAATTTACGCTTAGATAGATCAAATGACTCTCAGAATATTCTGAAAGTTGTGACTGAAAAAAATGTTTCTTCATCGAGTTATTGAAATTTCAAGTGAACTCGATTTTTTGACGAAGGGCAATTGTGTAGGAAAAATTTTAGATCGAAATTCTCTCGTCTGATTTTTTGGGGAACTACCTACAGATGAATCGACAATCCAGTAGATCAATTATAACTCGACGACAAAAGTTCACGGAGACAAAGCCTATTAGAATTGTGCTATTCTCGTTGAGATTTGCCTGCGGGTCCAATATGAACTCAAAACGACGGGTGTCACTTAGCGTAGTGCCCTCATGAGTGAGAAAATTCAACATTTTAGTATTTAGCAATCAGTTGATGTGTAAATGACTCTTTTTGTTCGCGCTATAGATAAAAATATCACATATTCATCTTTGAGAAACCTAACAGATACTATGATATTTCTTTCTAAGAATTTATAAATATATGATTGCAGAAATGAAAAAAAAAATGTTTTTCATAACTCTGATTGGATGTCACTGATATTAGTTGCTGTCTGAAAAGAAAAACAAAAACATTCATTCTTTTAAGAGATTTATAATTTTTAGGATAGAAAACATTGTCTTCTTTTGTATAAATTCATCAGTATCTGTTTTTCATTAATAGAAGCGAAATTTATTGGTTTTTCAATGTATACAACATGTGTTATATGGTTAGCATTTGCTGCTGTGTATTTTGCTATTGATATTAAAGTTTTTTCATTATGTGTTGCAACTAATGCAAGTGCTTATGTTGTATTAATATTTCTCTTTTTTCCAAAACTTTACTTAATTATATTTAAACCAGAAAAAAATCAACGAAGGTAAAGTGTTACGTTAATATTTTGTTTCGTAAAAATATCCTATGGTTTTATTTTAGTGCATTTGCAACAAATAAAGATATTCGTTGTCATTTTGGTTCATCAACAACATCGAAAAGTGACATGTCATCTTATCGTTATAGTGAAGGTTCATCATTATTTCGTAAATCAGTCTTACATCGTATTCGTTTTGGTAATACATTACGATTAAAAGCTGATTTTCCTAATTCAGTTGCATCATCATTACGTACTAATGATTTTCCTGGTAGTGATCGTCGTCCATCACGTTCTCTATCAGCTTATCCAGATCAATGGATGCATCATCATCATCATCGTCGCTTATCAAATACACCACAGTTACCAATAGCAACAGCTAGTGCTGATGATTTATCGTATCATACAAGTATATTAACTCAGAAAACATTAGATAATATACCAGCAGCACTAGTGATAGATTTACCTGATGCTCCTCAGCCACAAATACCGACACCAATTTTATCATCATCTTCTTTAGCAGCTTCAGTTGTTATTGCTGAAATAGAAAATCATGAAAAGCCTCCGATCATTCCACCACCACCATCACCACAACAACAACAGTCAATAACACATTTACCAGATTGTATTTATGCAACAAACCAACCAAATACTGTGAATTCTATCGGACCTAATGATTGTATTCGACAACGAGGTAAAAGTAGGCGTGGTAAGACTCGTTCGGATTCAAATAATGATTTAGCATTTTCAATGAAAACAACTGACATTGAAAGTGAATCATCAAGTGCATGGACAAATGAAGGTATAGGAATACATCCTATTTCAACAACAATAACAAATCCTGAATCTGTTTGTGCATGTCAATTATTATGGCAATTAGAACGAGAAACCGATAGTATTGATAAATTTAAATTATTTTTTAAACGAGATCATTTAAATGTCGATTGGGATTATGTACAAGGTTCGAGTGAAGTTTAAACGAAGCAGATATTTATTGTGTCGAACTTCTTCTTTTTTTTTTGTTCTGTCATGTATTTACAAGCATAAAGACTTATATGTATATACATATCATACTTTTTTTTTTTTTTTTCGTTCAAATGTATCCAATGTTTATTTCGAGTTATTCGTTCATCAGGAAAACATAGTTTAATTTAAGATTAAAAATCTTCTATTATCTGTGTGTATTAATTATAATAGAAGTCGAATACCATTCCTTAGTAAAATAGTATCTTCATTTTGAACACGATTAGATATTTCAAGAGAGAGAACAATGTCTACGCATTCTATCTGATCATTAGCTACGCCCATTTTCATACATAACTAATTCTTTTAACGAATTCTGTCTAGAAATTCAACAACAATCTTCTATTGTATGCTTTCAAACTTTGATTATTTGAACGTTTTGATAATTAACAGAATAAAAAGCTATTCATTGACGTCTTCTTATTTTATATTTTAAATCGAAAAAACAAAAAAATTGTCATTTAGCTTTTTTTGCTGATAGTCTACACAACAAATAAAAAATGGGAATCACAGGCAAGCACATTGTTTAACAATTACATCTTTAATAGGATAAATTTCAAGACTACCATCCATTTGTCGAAGAAGAAAATTATCGTCAGCAAATTGTGATGGTACACAAGTTGGTTGTGGCATATTGGTTTTTTTTCTATTGATAATAGATCGAAAAAGTGCATGAATTGATGTTTGTGATTGTTGTTGTAATGATAAATAAGAACATGAACCATCACAATATGTAAATTTATATTCTTTTGGTCGAATAATTAAATAAGCTAAACCAAGATCTTCAAATTTAATATCAATCGTTTTCATTTTACACATTGATAATAATGAATTAGTTTGTGTTTGTTTTAATTGATGATGATCAGATGAAAGTATTGAATTTAATTGTAATGCTTGATTTGATTTTGAACGAATATTTGTCGATGATATTATTATATATGTATGTGATGTTTGACATGTTTCATTATATATTATTGTTTCAATAATTAAACTTTGATTATTTATCTGTAATATATATTGATATATATTAATGAAATAAAAATCTCGATTAGGATCAAATTCTAAATATGTATTTATGGTAAAAAATTCTCTTAATGTTTGTGAATGTTTAAATTTTATATGTAATGGAATTGATGATGTTTTTATTTCAATTGAATCAATATGATAGATAAGTTCAATAGAAGCTAATAATTCTATTGAATGAGACCAAATAAATGTTGATTGAACTTGATTATTAATTATGAAACAATTACTTGCTTGTAAAGTAAACATTGGACTATAGGATGATATATCATCACTGAAACGTTTTCTTCTTGTATTTTTAACTATGTAATTAGAAATCTAATTAAAAAAACAAAAATATTTCTTTTTTTCTCTTTACTTTGTATAGATCTACTGGTTATATGATGATTATAAATCATTGAATGAACAAGAGATGTATGTGATATATTAAGTAAATCAATAAAATATTGTCTTAGAATAAAGTTACGATACGAACTATTAGACATTAATTCAAATTGATTAGAAGAAGATAATGATGATAAATAGTTGAATGTCGAAATTGAAGCAGAATGAGATGAACAAAACAAATAAATGGTAATAATAAAACAAAGAAAAGAAATTTTATGTATGAAGTTTTGTAGAATATCAATTAAATTTAATAATAATTTGGTAAACATGACACAAATACGTGCATTCGATAAAAACAACTGCTAAGATGCTGTTGTTGATTAGACTTTGTTATAATGATCAAATATATATTCATCATCACAAAAAAGATGACACATGAATGACTAGGAATTTTGATTATAATCAAAATTCTTTCAAAGACTTGATTTGACGAGATAATATGAATTGAACTAAATATAAATTAAAAAAAAGTATACAAATATACATAGATATAAAAAAAAATGATAATATCACTACTGACAATGATGAAATATAAACAAAGTCAAAATGAAATGCATTGTTTATTTCTGTAAGAAACAACATGCAATATCATATAAAGAATCTTCCACGAGAAAGATGTCCGATACTATTCCCTTATCAAATATAAGAATATGTACGTTTTGTCTGTGTGCAGTTATTTAAAGACGAAACATGGAATGAGGCATTTGTTGTTTTTTTTTCTTTCAGTATTCTTTTTTTCTTTTTGATGCATTCTTTCTTTACTCGGTCTTGTACAACCAACATTCTAGCCACAAGATGCATGGGCTCATCCAGTGCGTTTGAATTGTTATTTAAAAATTGACTATATATAAGAATGATGAAGATATTAACATGGAAAAAAATTAACTACGATATTCTTTCGAATATTCATTTCAACTCAATCGATCATTTTACATGTTAATCTTGTTGAACTATGCATTCAATCAGTAATGTATATTACTGCTGTGGTCACTGATATTTCAAAAATATATCTCTTTCGACTTAAGCTAAAAACATCAATTGGTCCTATTGTATTGAATACATTTTTAAAAAGAAAAGAAAAAAGATGCTATAGAATGTATTTACCTAGTAAATTTTTATTTGTTCTACAACCGTTTTTGAGCCAAAAGCGTGGTTTTTATCAATCAGAAGGAGAAAAAAGTGAAAGCTTTGTTTTTGATATTCAAAGATTAATTCTGTTACAGAAGAGAATGTATAAGATAGAGAATGGTAGAAGTGTACGTGCCAAGAGAAAAAGAAAAGAAATGAAAAAGTAAGACTAGCACGAATTTGTAAGTGCAACTGATGATATTTAGTTTTATGCGTGCTGTCATTTATTATCTTTTTTTTTTTTGTACAATGGATGAGACCCCTAGCCACTGTTATTCTTTCTGTTTGTTTCAGAACACAAGAAAATGATATCAAAAAAATGCTGGTATACTTTTTTCTTTCTCTTCATACCATTCGTATAATATTATCAAGGGTATCAAAAAAAAAAAGAAAAACTAAATCACCATTGAAAAAGAAATAGTTAACAATAACTATATTTTATGAGTACGTGCGTATTCAATATAATGTATAAGTGCAAAAAAACAATAACGATTACGAAAAAAGTACTGAATCATATGTTATACAGAAAAAAAAGAATATTGTATTGTTATTGTTATTGTATCTTAAGTTTATTTTTGAAGAAAAAAGATATCTATTAATTAGCTAGAATAAAATGTGTTGATGCTCGTGGACTGAAATTTTCATTATGCTTTCTATTGAATGATGTTTTATTGGATATTGTGGATTTAAATAATCGTCGAATACTAAAAACTTGAATCATTGAACATACAATCATTGTTATGATTTGGCATATAGCCCAATTTTGAACATAACTTGCATTAGCTTCAACTGTATATAAATCATGTAAATGATGAACTCGTCCTATTGTTTGATAAGCAGTAAGACGATAAAGTGTGGTTGAAATATTACCAAGTAATTTCTAATGAAGAAAAAAAAAAAAACGAAAAATGAGATATTAAATGAAGGACGAAAATTTAAGGCATCTTTTATTTTGTGGATTATTTTGTTCAAAATTTTTTGTTGAAACCGTTCAAATAATGATCTTAGATGTGAATACTTTCAAAGGTTTAGTTTTGAGTTTGTTTTTCATATTAACAGTTTTACTTCAGCACAAAAAAATTTGAATTTCATCTAATGTTTCATTAGTTTGTCAGTGTTAAATAATTATTTTAGAACTCTTCTATTTATCATTCGACGAAGGATATAATATACAACATTTTGATAAAAAGAATTTTTTGACGATCACTATTTTTCAAGATTACACCTAATTAATATTAAATATTGAAATAAAAAAAAGTTTATTTTCATCGTATTTTTTATGAATATTCCCATGGGTAATCAACCACAAAAAAATACACAGTTTTCAGAAGAGTTTCCTATTTATAGAGCTTGTTGCGTTGATCATTTTGGCGTAGTTGATGTTTTCTAGTATCTTGCTCCTAGTACCATGATCTATTGAGTACCTTTGAATATTTTTTTTTTGCAAGAATGATTAATGCAGCAAGCTCCACAAGGAACAACTCTTCTATATTTAATCAAGAAAAGAACAATTTTTGATCGATTAACTTGTCTTCTGATTTATTCTATTAACCCATGAAAAGAAAAGAGCAGACCGTTGAGATGATTATGTTTGTTAGTGTAAAAGACGAAAAAAAAATGAATCTATCAATTTACCATAGCATTTGTAGAAAATTCTTCTATAACAGCAGTTTCATTAGCTTTCTTCTCATTCACTGCATTTATTGTTGCTTCTAAAACACGATCTTTATGAATTGCAAGCACACCTATGTAAATAAATTTTTTTGTAAAATATTGCTCATTCTTGAAACATATTCGATAAGTTCCTTAAAAGATAAAATATAGTATAACACATATTTATTAAAGAAGAAAACAAACAGTTCTCTAAGAAGATTTCTTTACCTGCAACTTTCGAATGCTCTTCATCGTACCAACCAAATGGGCTATTAGCTTGAGTATATGCTGTACGACCCAATGGATCAGTTATTGTGACTCGTATAAGAGAATCACCACCTCTAAGTACTTGATAGATGGCATGAATTGTATCTTCCAATTTTGTTTCAAGATAAAAACACTCATCGAATGTATGTGATAAAACAATACGAAATGTATTCCAATGATCTAAGAGATTTTAGATAATTTATTGAATAAATAAAATTTGAAAATATTTTACCTAAAGTTTGTAAATTAGCTAGAGCACTCTCTTCGACATATGCGTATGTGCAAGAAATGAATATAAGTAGGAGGAGAAGCGTCTTCATATTCCAATCTTCCTTTTTTCATTAATAATAATTTTTTTTTTATTTTATTCGTTGTTACTTCTGAGAATATAATCACATGTGAGCATAACACTGATAAGAAACACTACGATGGTCTGATATATTACAATAATCGAACTTCTAAATACAATAAGAACCAGTGAATTTAAAAAAATGTTTTGTATTATCATATTCTGATTATCTTTCATGAACGATTATGTTGAGAATGTGAAATTTATTCTAAAACCAAGAATTTATTGAAAACGAAAATAATAGGCTATGTTATCTAAATATTTTACATCAAAAGTCTCATATAAGCTATTACTGAAATTAGTCTTCTTGGACTTAAAAACAAATAAATTTGTTAAAATATTAGTTTTTAAATAGAATATTTAAAGATAATGTTATACTCTTATTCGACACATTATTTAATCGAATTGTATTGAATACATTCGTAATTTCGATAGAGTCATGTCAAAAATTAGCAAAACACTAAATTCTGCTAACGAATCTGACAGATATTTCCATAATTTCCAACGAGACCTCTTCAAATGTTATGAAATTGTTGTAGAATCTTGCAGTCAAACTTCTTGGTCTGCTTTATTCATGACTAATCTTCTTTCTAAGTACATCAAAGACTGGATATTTGAAAGTAATTTAGAACTCACCCAAGATTCTGGCAACATTAAATACAAAAAATATTCAAATAAAGATATAGTTTTAAATTCTGTTTTATTAAATGTTCAAAATAGTCGTCATAACTATTTATACATAGTTTCATCGTTTTTGGCAATTTCTTCTATAATTATTTTGAAGTTCTTCTGGCTTATTTATAATTACTCTACATGGTGTATAGTCTGATGAAAATGGTGACTGTGACATTATATTGATACCTTAGTATGTTTAATAATTAATAACACCCGAATGATGATAAGATCAAACATTATCCTTAATTGATTGTATACCTTTCTCAAAAATTAGGATTAATTTATTAATTTATGCGAATAATATGTACAAAATTAATCATTCTACCACAACTAATTATTAGCAAGTTCAAGTCAAGAATTGAAACTAGTACATCCCTTGGTATTGCTGTTCACTGAACTTGCTTTTTTTGAAAAATCTAGTTATCTGAGAATACATGCTAGGTTGGAAAGATAGCTCCATCAACATTAAACAAAACAGTCTTCAAAATAGAAAAGATTCAAATTGCATCCACATATGTTTTGAGCTCTTTGTAGAATATGTAATAGAAAGATCAGATCATTCTGAAAAACAATGCAAAATCTCTAGGCAGATGCCTAGATTGTCCTTGCTCAAGTCGAAGCTGCAGCACTGTTTTATTTTGAATATTTCAAACCTTTAATTATTTTCGAAGTAATAATTAATTAATGGGAATAATAACGAAAGCTATTTTTGAATCAATAGCTTTAAGCCATCAGAAAACTTTACTAAACATTGAAATCGCACTCTAACAGTTGCAATTAACATCTCTTAGAGACTTCGTCAGTTTCCAAGTTTGAATTCTTTTGTGTAAATATTTATTAGAGAAATTGTCGAAAAGACTTCTTTATTACTTTTATTCTGGAATACGTGGTGATCGTTGTACTACTAGATCGGCCACTGAATAGAATCATTTCGAATCTGATAACAGCTGAATAAAAAATATGTTAAAGAAAGAAGAAAACAGTCTCTATCAAAGAAGACGAACGAATGTCTCCACGTCAGCTGCCTCCAAAAAAGTATTCATATATTCACGCTGTGATGGGTGTGAGTATAGGTTTTTATGTGCATGAAAAGACGAGGGCTACATCCACATTCACCGCTCATTCTTTCCTTAATTAATCGATTGCCCTATTTGAGGATACTTGTTCGATAGCATAGTAACTACCCTACAGACGACACAAAAAAGTGTGCATTTAATAGACACCTATACTCGAAATTCAATTTTACAAGTCCCGCTTGTTTTTTAGATCGGAGCTCCTCTCTCAAAACTCTCTCTTTGTAACAACACTGTCGTTACAATATTTTAATGATATAATCTTTGAAAAATCATGAAAAGTTTTTTAAAAGTTGGATACTAGCCAATGAAGCTCCATCATTTTTGTGTGTGGTAACAATCAGAGAAAATTTTTGTTTAGATAGAAGAACTTTCTCATTAAATATCATTCAGTAATTCATTCATAATTTCAGTTTGAAACTGCATATAGCTCACAGCACTACGCATAATATGGACAGCGACATGTCGGTACCAACGGCTAGTTTTCTCAAAATTGCATCCATCTATGACGTAGTCAACACAGATAGTGTGTGGAGCGCCAGCGATTAACAATTATTCTTTCTACTTGGCAAAACTTACGACGATATATTTTTAGAGGGCAGTTATTCAGTTATGCCAAAGCTGGCTTATTGAACGAACAGAAACGAATTTTTCATTGAGTAACCAATATCTCAGCATAGAAAAACTTACCCAATCCATTCATCTATCATCATAATTTCTTTTCTATGGATTGACTTTCATCAAAATTGACTAGAAATTCTGAATGAATTTGGCAAGAGTTGTTGTCTGTCGTGACAGCCAGAAAATCGGTACATGATAGAGTAATCAAATGAAATGATTAATGTAACGAAAATGAGAAATATGAGATGATGCTCTCTTTCGTTACCAATGAATTATGTATTTTATTACGATCAACGTGAAAGAACTGGACGAGTAGTGTTATCTCTACTCTCGGTACAGATGTTCACTACATTGCTTCATGACTCCAATTATCTCTACTTCACATAAAACACAAACTTATATTCGAGAGAAGGAACCAGGAAGAAGAGAGATTTGAGAAAAAAGGAGAGAGTGAATAAAGAACAGAATAAGCAGGCATCTACTATCGTTCGTGATGTCCGAGTGTCTAGCTGCATAGTGCCCAAAATGCTCTCACATTGTTGAAGCGATAGAAGATGAAGATAGATAGTGCCCGTGTTGTTGATATAAACAGAGTTTTAACTCGCTTTTCAATGCTGTTTATGAGATTCAATACTACTGATGTAGTTATCTGCTATGACAAGTTGTTCTACTCTATCGCATTTGATCGCTTAAAGTAAGCTTATGATTGTGATAGGTCATCGATGTATCATATCTTTCATTTTGAGAATTGCTCAAAGACTCTCCATCAGACTCACCCTCGAGTTCATTGATGGTTTGTGAAGTGAAGTAAACTGCAGAACAAAAAATTCTTTACTCACTACTCCTAAGATCATTTTCACAACATACTCCTGAAAAGCAATCGATATGAAATCTGGAATAGAATTTTGGTTCACACACATTGTGCTCATCGATCGTCGTCGCTAGTATTCGGTCATTAGTAACCGATCTCGATATTTCTTAAATTTTCAAGATGATTTCCTGTCTGGACAACAATTCTAATTTGGATCCACTCTTGTGATGAAGAATTGATAGGGGAACCAGGCTAGTGCACCAATGTTAACGGAAGATTCGATCTAAATGATCGATTAAAAGACTTCTTTTTTTTTATTTTTCGGAAAGCATTCGCTATATAAAGTAACGAACTAGTTGGAAGAAAAAAACATGAACGAGAGGAAAAATATCTGAATATGAAGAAAGAAAAAGAACAGAAGAAAACTAATTACATATATCTATACGTATATGTATAGCAAAACAGAAACGAAAGAAAAAAAGAAAAATATCATAAATAACTGATTCACCCNACTAGAATAGCTATTTTTTGATTAAATGATCAAAGTTTAGATGTAGATATTGTGCTATTTATCAACAAGAGAACTCTATCAATTCATAGCAACATGCTTTAGGCATACCAGTGATTAATTATTGAATCATCTATGTGATTCATTATATGTTATCCAATATTCTTACAGTGCGAATATATATAAATGACTTTACGAGACATTAATGTTTATCACAGTTATTGCTGATAGTTTTTTATATTGAATCGTAAGAAAGACAATGTCCACATAAACCTATTTATCCAGCTTTCTGTGAATAAACAGATTTGGTTACTAAAGATCAGAATCAAAATAAATAGTTGATATAAAAAACTCTATGACAATAAATTATTAAAGGAGTGAAAAAATATCAATAACTTAATTGAAAGATTCAAAACTGACTCCTATTCAAACAACATATATCATCTAATCTTTCGCATTTCACTCCTTTCAAAACTCAACCACATTTCAACAGAATATACTGACGAATTCTAAAAATTCCTAAAATCAATTAAATTTTAATAGAAAACAGTAGCGAACTCTACACCTTCCTAAATTTTATCAATTTCAATTTAATTTTAACCTGACTTAATATATCAGATCAGCTGGTTTTTCATCTTTTTTTCTGTTTTTTAATTTTTAACTTTAAGAAAATCTATGTTTAATTTTTCCTAAAACTCAATTTTGCCTGACACATGTATATCCCATTTCCATATTTTTTTTATATTCAAATCAATTTCGTGCACTTATGTCTCAAATCGCTGATTTCAATTTCCATGAAATTTTTCTCAAAGATAATTTCATTTAACTTTCCTGAAAAAAGAAACTCCATCTTATGCCATAAAAAGGGTGTGGGTGTGTGGGTGTGGGTGGGGCGTGGGCGGGTGTGGGCCAGCATGAAAGAAGAACCACATCCCACATCCACACCCACACCCCTCATCCTTTAAAGATAGATTCAATGAAAGATTATCTCTCTGTTTCATCTTTAATTGATGATATTTCTTGAATTCGAATACTCATATCATATTGAACATGTTTAAAATGTATGATATATGACTCAAATTGACTTTTCAATCGTTTATTTTGTAAACGTATATTTTTCAGCTAATTGAATAAAATAAAATTTTTTGTTTTGATTTACTTGTCGTTTATCTTGGATTGTTTAAAATTTTTGTTTTTCATTATTATTTTCTACGTTTGAATAATTTACAAGTGAAAGATGTTGATTTTCTTGTTTAAATCTTTCATGTTTATACATATAATCA